GTTCCCACCACCCCTCCCATGCTGAGGGTCTGAGGACCAAGTGCCTACACCCCTAGGACCACATAGTACCTGAATAAGCCACCTGCCCCATTTGCACCTCACCCAGCCATTTGACCTCACAATAGAAGGGACAGGAGACAAGGGGAGGGGACAAAGCCCAGGGCAGACTCAAGAGTTTGGTGGGTGAAGGCCCAAGGGCAGGGGGCCCCCACCTTTCTAAATACAAGTGGGAAGCTGGGCAGGGCTCACCCAACTCTGGAAAATCATCTGATGAAGGCTCAGAGGCTGGGGGAATGTCCATTAGGGAGAGGAAGATACCACACCCAAGAGACATGGTGACCAGCAGGCCAGGTCCAAGCCAGCAAGGTTTGGGCTGTGGGTACATCATGGCAGCACAGGCTCGGGGGGGCCAGCAAGGCAGATGTAGTCACACACCGGGTGCCACCGAGACCCCACAGAGGCACAAGGCCAAGGCCAAGTTGGCAGAGGGAAGCTGTCTTAGTCTATTTAGTGTTTTGCTATAACAAAGTACCTAAGGCTGTGTATTTAATACAGAAATTTTATTTGGTTCATGATTCTGGAGGCTGTGAAGTCCAAGACCAGGCAACTCGACTGTGAGGGCCTGGTGCTTTTCAACTCATGAGGGGAAGTGGAAGGAATGTGGTGTGCAAAGGCACCAAACACAAGAAGGAACTAACCCCATCCTGAGAGTGAGAGCTTATGCCCCAGATGGCACCAACCCATTCAGGAGGCATCCACCCCGATGACCCCAACACCTCCCGCTAGGCCTCTCCTCCCAACACTGCCATGGGCAATTAAACTTCAGCCTGGGTCTCATGGGGGCAAACCACATCCAAACCACAGCAGAGACTGGGGTCTGTGGGCCTCACAGGGAACAAGGCCAAAGTCCCATCAGCAGCAGTGAAGTTCAGGGCCACAGGGCAGGAAGGAGCGGTCTCACACCCTCTAATGTTTACTAGGGCTAGGAATGATGCTGGAGCACAATCCTGGATCTTGAGAAGTCCACGAGGCATGCTTGAAGTCCTTAAATCCCTCCTGGGTAAGGCCCCGGGCAGAGGCTGCAGCTGAGAAAGGAGGGGCCAGGGGTCAGCAGGCCTGGCCGGCAGACAAGCCAGGGCAGCCCACTCATTGCTTCCTGCCCTCATGAGACTCTTGGTGGAAAGGCTCTGGGCTGCAATGGTGCCTCAGGATACGGAGATGCCCCCCAGCCAGTGTGACTTTGCACTGTGCTCCAACCCAGGCTTCAGAGCGCACAGGCCCTTCGGCAAAACAGAACCATCTCCTGCTCTCTGCCTGCACCACAACTGGGATACGTTGACATTCTGAGCACTGTGAGGTATGTTGCTGGCATCTTGATCTTGATATCCCAGCACAGTTCCTGGCCCAGCACTGGTGTTGAATGAATGCATGAATGGATAAGTGCAAGAATGAATAAGTGAAAGCATGCATGAAAAAGATGTTGGCACTGAGCCCCAGCCTGGAGAAACGGTGCTGAGCCATACCTGGAAGCCCCTAACTGTGTCCCTCCCTCAGTCCTCTCACACCCACACTTGACCCCCTTGGGACGCACAGAGGCTCATCTCCCAAGCCCTGGTCAAGGCACTGCTGGCTGGAGAGAGGGAGTTGCTGCAGGGGCGCTGTTCCCCAAGCTGTCCCTCTGCAGAAGGCTTCCCAGAGGCGTCAGTTTGCCAGTCTAAAGGACTATGATTATGGGGACATGGGATTCAGCTCTGCAGGGGGCGTTTCGGGGGCAGGTGGCCTGGGAGGGAGATGGCAGGGACCCTTGTAGGAATGAGGGAATGTGCTGTGCACTCACGGCACAGAGGCCTTTTCAGTGGCTAATTTTTCTGGGGGTTGTGTCTCCTTTCGCTTTACACTTGGCTTTATTAACGCCTCTCTCTCCTCCCCAGATTCTAATCGCCCTCCAGAAGCAGCTGCTATTAGCTCCTCTCCTGAGCCTCCAAATCCCCAATGCTCAGCAAAATTCCCCCTGATGGAAGCAGCTGTGTTCAGATGCCGCACGTCTGCCTCCAGAGCTCATCAAAGCCCCTCAAAGGGAAGATTAGCAGCAGCTCCCATCAGCGGGGGCATTGTCGCCATTCAGCGCCTGAGCCATGCTTGGCCACTCGGGCCTCATGGAAGACACCGAATTAGAGAATATTGGACTTTTAAAAGCACGGACTCTCAGAAGCGTAGGCTTTTGGAAGCGTGGAATCATCCAATCTTCTCCACAAATCAGCTTAGGGTGTTTGAATTTTAAGGATGCATCCTTTTAGAAGCTTAAACTGTTAGAAGTCACCTCAAATTTTATTCTGATTAAGTTTAGGGTAAAATAAGTAAATCTAATCTTTGACACCGTCTTAGAAGCCTGGCATCTTAGCTTATTAAACCTCAGAATTTGAAACATCAGTGAGCTGCAGAAACTGTATCATCTGGGGGGTCAGAGTGAGAGGAGCCTGCAGCCCAAGCCTCTTGCTCAGTGCCGAAACCTCTCGGGGAGCCAGTGGGTCCTTCACGCTCCCCTGTCTCTCGACGTGGCGCAGAGCTTACTGCTGGCATGCTGGTCTTGGTGGGCCCAAATGCTTCCCTCCCCCAGCTTCAGACCCCAAGTCCAGGCGGTCTCAGTGTGGGGCAGGCACTCTCGCTCTGCTGGAGGTAATGCTCTCAGATCCCACCAGGGCTCACGCCCAGCCTTCTGAGCCCCCACAAACAGACTGCCCTCCTGAAGGTCCTGGGAGACCCTACTCTGGCTTTCAGATGTGTCTAAGCCTGGAATCCTTTATTCCAAGGAAGACCCATGAATCCGAAGGGGCCGTAGGGATGGGATTCTGGGTTCCATTGGCCTCCACATCCCACAGGCCTGACACCACCCACACCGGCCCACTGTGGCCCTGGGGGCTCCATGGAGCACAGGGTGAGAATGTGGCTCCACGTGCCGGTCTGGTCTCAGAGCCAGGCCCTGCCCCACAAGCACCACGCACCCCGTAGTGGACCATGGGTTCAGGAAGGACGGCACCCTAGAGTCCAAGCCAGGGCCCTCATAAGCTGAGGGACCTCAGGCCACCCTGGCACCCACCCATCTGAGTCTCAGTGTCTTCATCTGTGAAATGGGTCCATCAGGCCCATGGATTCTTCCCAGGACCGTGAGGCAGCAGCTCTGCTCCAGGCAGGATGCTGAGGAGGGCAGCAGGGTGCAGTAGGTGCAGAGAGGATTTGAGGTACCTCTGGAGGCCACTCGGGCGAGGTGCGGTCCATGCAGCCGGGGAGGAGGCAGAGGGGGAGTGTGGACGGCACCGGGGGCCAGGTGGGAGGACTGAGCAGAACCTTGGCCCCCTGTGCCCAGCTCTTCAGGGAACAGGGAGGTCCTCCCCACAGATGTGCTGGGCTCCAGGCACCTGCATTCTTCATTCCCACAGGAACACGACACCAGGCTGGTGATGACTCAGGACCAGAATCATAGGCCTGGATGCCTTTCCGGGTGGCCAAGGTGAGCAAGGCCGAGTAAGTGGACCCCACCCCTTCCGAGGCTGTCCAGGGAGCCAGCCAGCCCACCCACTTATGGTCTCTCCAGAAAGGGAATCCTCTCAGGGCACAGCCTGAGCCAGAGGGCACCCTGCCCAGGCCATGCCACCCACAGCCACCAGTGCTGTTAATAACTTGGCTGGGCAGGGGCCTCTGGGCCCCAAGGCCCCCCAGGGGGACAGGTTCTGTGGGCTCCCCTATGTGAGTCCCTCCTGCAGCCCCTTTCTTTCTAGGCTCACCCACTGAGATATCCCCACCACAGCCCCCGACCCATATCCCCAGCCTGTCCCATTGTCCTGTCCCCTCAGCCTGTCCCCTTGGCCTGTCCACCCCGCCTGTCCACCAGGTCTGTCCCCTTGGCCTATCCACTCAGCCTGTCCACCTGGCCTGTCCCCTCGACTTGTCCCCTCGGCCTGTCCCCCCAGCAGCCTCTCCTGGATGAGTGTGGCTACCCCAGCCCTGGGACCCTCCTGTGCTTCCCGGCCCTCTGCACCCCCCACCCAGACAGCTGGAGCTGTGGGACCTCATCCCACTCCACCACCATCTCTCATTGGCGGGCAGTCTCGCTGGCTATTCCTGCGCACCCACAGGGGTCCTGAGATACCAGCTGTATCACTCGCCCTCCACTGATCGGAACTTGACATTCAGAGAGATCAGGTTACTTAGGCAAGGTTACACAGCTCCTGGGTCACAGACCCAGCTGTGCCTATTCCAACAGCCTGTGACGGTGATGCCTAAAGGTGACCATGTGGGCGGTGACCCCCGTGGTCCTGCTGAGGAAGGTGCCCTCTGGAGGTGGCTGGTGCAGCAAAGCAGTTTCCACGTCTATAAAGTGGGGCCGGCATTCCTACCCACCCGACAGGCTGATGTGCAGATTGAATGAGTCAGGATTAAGTGCACATGAGGCAGCTTGCTGAACACCAGGCCTCAAGCTCAGCAGGGGCCCAGCCAGCAGGGCGGCAGCGGCAGGTGGAGCAGGGTGGCCTGGGGACAGTCAGACCGGCTCAGGACTTCTGTGAACCTCTGCCTCCCTCTTCCACACCAGGGAAGGGAGAGCGCTCATTCCTACCCCCGCACTCTCCCAGTTCCTGTGTGCTGTGTGTGGGGGAGTGACTTTCCATCCACTGACGATATTCTAGGTTTCAATTATCTTTGCCAAATTAACACGATTTTACATTTCAGAATCAACCATAGGACACGTAGAATTGCTGCTCTTCCTGTCATTGCTTACCCTGATCTTATTGCAAAGTCTGCATGCTAGAGCCTGCAAGGCACGTGTAATGTCTGCATGCTAGAACCTGCAAGGCACGCGTGACATCTGCATGCTAGAACCTGCAAGGCACGTACATTTGTAAATCAACTATAGGACACGAGAGCTGCTGCCTTCCCTGTCATTGCTTACCCCATCTAGACGGTGGCAGTTCGCGGCCACAAGAGCCTGGGTAAGGCAATGCGTAATGTCTTTGCATGCCAATTCCAAAGGCATCGCTGACATCTGGTAGTGTTGAACAACCTGCAAGGCACGCGTGACATCTGCATGCTAGAACCTGCAAGGCAAGTGTGACGTCTGCATGTCAGAGCCTGCAAGGCACGCGTGACATCTGCATGCTAGAACCTGCAAGGCAAGCGTCACGTCTGCATGTCAGAGCCTGCAAGGCACATGTAACGTCTGCATGCTAGAGCCTTCAAGGCACGTGTTGCACATATTTTCATTTGTGTTCTTGATAACAGGGCAAGGAAAGCCTGGCCTGAGCTCCATTTCTGAAAGGAGGGCACAGAGAACCAAGTAGGCGGCTCAGGGCAGCTAACTGAAGTCAGAGCCAGATAGGAGCTGGGCAGTAGAGGTCTTTGGCTCTTGCCTGCCTGGCCTCCATCCCCTCTGGTGGCACCCAGCACTTCCTGGGGGAGCCTTCTCTTCCCAGCTCCATCCCTGTGGAGGTGTAGGACATTGCCATGCCCCCAGGCCCCACCTGTGCATGAGCACACGGCCCTGCCTGGCCCGTCAGCAGAGCCTCTCCTCTGGACTCAGTGATTGGTTTGGAGGTGACCATGGGACTCCATTTGGGGACTTTCCCTGGAAGTGTCAGGGGAGAGGAAAACTCTTCCCCTTGCACTGGCTACATCCTTGGGTATAAGCCAGGTGTGGCCCAGCCTGCCAGAGAATGGTGGCCTCTCAAAGGGAAGATGAAACAAGAGACAGAAGGCAGCAATGGTAACGTTGGGTGCCTGGGACTTCCCTCTTTGGCTTGAACCAGTTGAGATGGGTTTCTGTCCCTTAAAACCAAAAGATCCTTGAAAAGCGCATCAAATGCCACGCTGCCCTCTCCACAGGTCCCAGGATGAGGAGGTCAAGCCTGCAGGAGGAGGTCAAAGCCCCAGGACGGGAAGGATTTGGGTGGAGGAAGAGCAGGGCACAGCAGAGGGCCCCTCTGCCGCGGCCATGCCTGCCCTGCACCTCCTGGCATTCAGCCCTTGCCCTCTGATCCCTGGAGAAGCCTTGGAGGGGGTCACACCCAAGACTGGCACCCGGCCTCACCGAGGCCGCTGGACCACACTGTTCAGCTGTGCAGCCCAATCTCACACTAATGACAAACATCTGTCCTCGCACAGGAGGCATTTGCGTGTCACGCTCAGGAACACAGGACCTGTTTCCCTGCCAGGCCTGGCGACCATCACAAGCCCATTACGGGTGAGTGAAGTCGAGTGAGTCAGCCTCCCAGGGGCGTGGGGCTGAGATGAGCCAGGCTGTGCTGGGGAGGGGGTGGCTGGACCAGTGGGGCTGAGTCAGCGTCGTTAGACCTTGACTGTGTGTCAGGCAACTTCTGTGGGCGTGGAGCATGGAGGGGAGAGGGGAAGAGGAGAAGAAGGGAGGGGAGGAAGCGGGGAGCAGCCCCTGAAGGCAGGGAGAGGAGAGCTGAGCAGGGAAAGAAGGAGGCCAGGCCGTGTGCTTCACCATGGAAACCTCAGCCTGCATCCTGGGTCAGGACCCTGTGCTCTGCCAGGAAGCGTGTCCCAGTATAGCCTGGCCCTGAGGTCTGTGGGGCTGGAACCCCATACCAGTGGCCTCCTTTCTGGGGATGTGGGTGGAGGAACCAGCCGGCTGGTGAGCAGCAGGAAGGAGTGTTGCAGGGGCTTTTTCTGAGAATGTCCCATCAACATGGAGTGTCTGACGGCCCCTACAAGTGCATGGAGCAGAGGGTTAGCAGACTGGGGCGGGGAGCACGTGGACCTCCAGGGAGCCAAGCTCTCGAGGAGGCAGGGATGATGCAAAGCTGAGATATAAGACTTGGTCTTCATTTATCTACATCAAGGGCAAGGATCCCAGGCAGGTGACCAAGAAACCCAAGAAACATCTCACGATCAGCCCACGTGGTGGGAGCAAGGGTCGGAGCCACAGGATATCAGGACTTGGTCACGGCGTAAGGACAGGGCCGGCCCAAAAGCCTGACCTCGCTCTAGGGCTCCGGATCAGGGCTGGTTCCGCTCCTCTCGGCCTGCACTGCAGCTGGCCCAGGCTCTGGCTCCATGCCGCCGCCTACTCGCCTGTGACCTTGTACTGCTGGCTCCCACCTGCAGCAGCGAGGGTGGCCTGAGTGCTGCGAGCCCCTCTGTGGCACTGCTGGACGCCTCCCTCCCTCCCTCTCTGTTCTCTGCCCATCTGACTCACGATCACCGGTCACCGCTGCTGTGAGAGTCAGTCTCCAAGCTCAGAAGCCAATTAGGAGAAATCTGTCCCCAGCCCCAGCTCTGAGGAGGCTGCCTCCTCCCCTCCAGCCAGGATGACTCAAAGCAGCGAGTCCCCAGCAGCTGTGGCAGCACCCGCGCCCACAGAGCTCACAGAGGAGAAGCTGTCCTGGAGGATGGCACCAGCTTCCCTGGCCTTGCAGGCCCTTCAGGTGACCACAGAATGAGCCCAGTGTCAAATGATGAGAGGGGCCAAGCAGCCCAGGACTCTGTGGCTATCTTTCTAGTCCTTACCAGCTCTCGGGAGGGCCACTGGCTGTTGGCAAAACCAGGACACTCCCAGATCAGAGGGGGTAGCTGCAGGAAGCCCTTGGATGGTTCCAAGCCCTGGACACTTGCAGGGGAGGAGGGAAGCCCTGTGGCTGCTGACCTGCGTCCGTCTCCCCCGCCCTCCCCCTTAGCTGAGCCCCCGCCCAGCAGAGGCCAAAGCCACCCACGCAGAGGAGCTAAAAAGTGGTGGTGTTCGATGATTCCAACACAAGAGCAGCCATTGTGGGAGCTGGGGGGACAACCGTGTTCCCTCCATACAGGGTGACAGGAGGAACCAGGAGGGGCCATCTGAACCTCACACCACCTGATGCTGATGCTGCTCTCGGGGGCTCTGCCCAGAACACTTGGCTCAGCCTGCCAAGCCCAACTCCAGGTCACCACCCCCTGGAAGCCCTCCCAGCCACCCAGCAGGCAGACTTCTTTCTCTGAGCTCCCGTCCTGTCTGCTGGACATTGGCGTCCATCACTCTGCCTCCTGCTACAGACTCTTCTCCTGTGGGGTCCACCTCAGACACAGCCCTGAGTGCGAGGGGCACGAGGACAAGCCCCGTGATTTACGGCTGAGGAAAGGGAGGCCGAGAGAGTGATTTTCCAAGGCCTTCGGGTCAATAGGATGGCAGGATGCAGGCCCAGGCCCCACACCCTGAAGCCTCTCCATAATATGTTCCACTTGTCAGTTACGCTGGCACCTCACGGCTAGCCCCGTCCCCCTCCCAGAGGGTCTGCCTTGATTTCCCCACCTGCAGCCCCGTTTCCAGCCTCACAGACCCGAGACCCTCTCTAGGTCCTGTCCATGCTCTTCCCCCAAATAGGGCCCCATATTTAGTAACTAAAAGATATAGGGCACCAGCTAAATGTAGATAAATTTAAATTCATCTAAACTTGAATTCCATATAAGCAACATTTTTTAGTACATGTATGTCTGGTGCAATCATTGGGACATACTTATGCTAAAAAAATTAGTATTCACTATTTAGCTGAGATTAAAATTTAGCTGGGCATCCTGTTTTCATGTGGAAACCCTACCCCGAAGGCCTCTTTCCTCACCACCTGTGGAATCCTGGAACGGATGGCTCAGTGACTCGGATCGAACCCAGGCAGCCTGGCCCCCACGCCCCATCCAACAGCAGTGCTGTCAGGTCTGGAGCTCTGCGCTGTGCTCAGCATGCCAGGAGGGCAGGCACAGGCCTGGAGTCCTCCCAGCTCTCCTCTACCAATGTCGTGACATGTCTGGGACCCGTGGCAGGGCCTGAATGCCTTAGACTGGGTCGGCCGGGGCATACGGGACGGACGGTGCTGCAGCCGCCTTTACCGCAACACCAGTCACAGCCACACCTGCCACCCGCAGCAACTGAGCAGCAGCAGCAGGCGGCACGCGGCCCGGCCCACACCCCGCACCAGGCTTTGCTCACAGCACTTAACTCAGTCCTCAAAGGATGCTGGGAGGGAGCTGCTGCGTGCCCCATTTTACGGAGGAGGAAACGGAGGCCTGAGTAAGCCAAGTAACTTGTGTGAGGCTGTTAGTAGCAGAGGCAGGAGGCAGACTTAGCCCCAGATTTATGCTCTTCACCACCCTTCTCTCTCCTCATGTGCCAGCACGGGCGGGTATCCACCCTCTGCCCTCTCCCCGTGGACACAGGCCTTCCCTTTCTGCCACACTCACTCCCAGGTGACCTCTGGGTTTAGCCTCATCTTTCAAGCCTGCTTGCCCATCCCTTCTGTACCCCTGGGCCTGGGCTGCAGTCTCCTGCCTGGGTGGGCTTCATGCAAGAAGCCTCAGAGCCCTAGGAGTCCAGGCCACATGGATACCTCATGGCTTAGAAAGTGTTTTCACGATGTTGGCAGTGGTGACGATGGTGCTTAGAATTTCTGGCTTAACCTACAGGAAGCACCACGCTTACTAATGAACCTTTAGAAGCATTTCCATTAGTGAGGAGTAAGAGGAGAATGCCCGCGACTGCCCATATCATCTTCAGTTTAATACCCAAGCGTGAGTCTCACTTGAGTAGTTGACTGTGCACATGGAAGAAAAGAAAAATCCAGGCGTGATCCAAATGTGATAAAACACTTTGAGCTAATTAAAGCACAGAAAACTTTTCTATGACCTCAGGGTAAAAAAGAGTTTTAAAATCAAAGACATAAAGAGAAAAATGATCAGTTTGAATATATCAAAATTTGTAACTTCTATGTGAAAAAGGTCCATAAACATAATTAAAAGGTAAGTGACTTTGTGAGGCAGACTTTTGCAACATGCAGCAAATAATGGATCAATGGCCATAATATACGAAGAGTATCTACAAATCAATAAGGTGACAACCCAAAGAAAAAACGGGCAAAGCATCTGAATAGGCAACTCCACAAAGAGGAAATCTACATCATGAATAGATATGAGAACATGTTCACTAATATGTGATGCTTATGTCAATATTCCCTAGAATATCATTCCACATCCATCAGAATGGCAAACATCTAGAAGTTTGACAATTCCAAGCATAAAAAGTTGCACACACTGTTGATGTGAGCAATTTAGAACATGATTGTTTGGGAGACCACCTAGGAAAATCGAGTTCAGAACAGGTGAGTCTAGACCCTGCACATTCCCTCCCACACATGTACCCTATACAAGTCAGGGATGCCAGGTGGCATGGCAGCAGAGCCAAGGCCCCAAACCCCAGGACGAGCCTCCCAGGGTGTCTCCCAGCTGGTCAGCCATAGGCAGGCCATGTGCTTTTGCTGTGCCTCAGTTTCCTTAACCGGAAAATGGGCACTTCCCCATCGAATGTCATCATGTGAGTTCCGTGAGAGGATGTATATAAACTTACTGGAACAGCCGGCGACAAACAATGAGTCTAATAGATGACGGTTATTTTCACCATGACTTTATTTGTAATAGAAAACACTGGAAACAAGCCAAATGCCCATCAGAATGGAAATGAATACATACATTTAAATATTTTCACATGATGGAATACACTACAGAACTTAAAACATATAAAATAGACTTAGATTGTCACCATGAATGGATCTTAAAAATAAAATGTTGAGTAAAAAGAGAAATTGTAAAACATGACTTATACCATAATCCCATTTATGTAAATGTTTAAACACACAGTACAACAGAACATATTGTTTATGGAGCTCCTATGCAGAAAAGGTCTAAAACGTGGACTCATTACTCTCTCATTCATGACGGTGGGCTGCCTCCAGGAAGGGATTTTTCACTTGGGGCGGTAGGAATGTGAGGGTTTGTAATAAAACCCTTTCTGACTTTCTGGAGCTTATTGTTGCAATATTTTTCTTGTTAAGCTAAGTCTCTCGGAGGCATCCCATCACACTTAGAAGCACCCCTGCTCCCATGGTCCACGAACCCCCTTCACACCCACAGCCCCGGTGCCTGCTAGCCTGGCTGAGTCAGCTCCTTGGCCACTGCTGTCCCCCTTGCTGATTTCAGCCCCACTGGCCCATCCATGCCTCACAGCCCACACCATCTGTCCCCTTCACCTGAGATCCCTTCTCCTGCTGTTTCCCTTCCCTGCAAGGCTCATTCTTGAAACCTTCCCACTCTCTGGGTCTCAGTTCAATGGTCACGCCTGGAGAGACGGTGCCAGACCACCTGCCTTCACGGGCACCCACCCCACCCTTCACTCTGGGATTTGTGCAGTTTCGTGAAGGACTTCTCACCCTCTGAATCATCTTGTTGAGATACCTCACTTGTATTTTCTCTGTCAAACTCTACCCCAGGGGACTGTGAGGCCCACCAGAGCTGGGGACCTTGTTTGGCTCACAGCATAACCAGCACCTATTCTAGTGCCTGCCACAGAGTCAGAGATGGAGTGCTCAGAGGGGGTTCTGATGGATGGACAGATGGGCAGATGGACCTATGGATGGACAGATGGAGTGATAGACGGATGGACAGATGAGTGGATGGATGAGTGGGTGGGTGGGTGAACAGGTGGATGGAAGGGTGGATGGATAGATGGGTGGGTAGATGAATGATTGGATGGGTGGATGGATGGGTGGATGGATGGGTGGGTGGATGAACAGGTGGAAGGATGGATGGGTGGATTTATGTGTGGTTGAACAGGTGGATTGATGGGTAGATGAGTGGGTAGGTGAACAGGTGGATGGATGGATAGATGGATGGATGGATGGATGGATGGATGGATGGATGGATGGATGGGGTGGATGGGTGGATGGATGGATGGGTGGGTGAACAGGTGGATGGATGGGTGGATGGATGGATGGGGGTGGAAAGGTGAACCGGTGGATGGATGGATGGATGGGTGAACAGGTGGATGGATGAATGGATGGGTGGATAGGTGGATGGCTGGATGGGTGGGTGAAAAGGTGGATGGATGGGTGGATGGGTGGATAGGTGAACAGGTGGGTGAGTGGATGGATGGATGGATGGATGGACGGATGGATGGATGGATGGATGGATGGACAGGCAGATGGGTGGATAGGTGAATAGGTGGATGGATGGATGGATAGGTGGATGGGTGGATGGATGGGTGGGTGGGTGAACAGGTGGATGGGTGGGTGGATAGATAGGTGGATGGGTGGATGGATGGATAGATGGATGGGTGTGTGGGTGAACAGGTGGATGGATGAATGGATGTGTGGATAGGTGGATGGCTGGATGGGCGGGTGAAAAGGTGGATGGATGGGTGGATGGGTGGATAGGTGAACAGATGGATGGATGGATGGGTGGATGGGTGGATAGGTGAACAGATGGATGGATGGATGGATGGATGGATGGATGGATGGATGGATGGAT